CCTGGAGCCCCCACTCAGGATCCTCCAGCTCCTGGTGTCTGCACGGTCAGATTCACTGGTATTTTCTCCAGAGCTGTGGATGGCCTGATGGGACACCCCAGTGTCACAGGGAGCACCCTGTGCTGCCAGCACCTTAACCCCCCAACACACTCCGTACGCCAGCGCTTCAAACAAGCCAGATCTCAACACTTGCAAATAAGATTATAGGGCCAGAAGCTGCCAAACAGAGCTTGGCTTGTCTCCTCTATCCCTAACGTAACCACAGACACAGTGCCACCCGTTCTGCCATCAGCCTCCCCAGGCCAGTCCCACACAGTCACTGCCACGGTCTGCTCAGTCTGCCCTGGGCTTGAGCAAGGCGGCCGTGCTGCTCCAAGGGAGAGCTGTCCCAGCAGGGACACGCTGCCAGTGCCACAGGTTGGCACACGAAGCGTCAGCAAAGCCCCAGCAGCCCCATCACCTTCAGAAAGGGGATCACAAACGGCCGGAGGGGGAAGTTTGTGGCTTCCTGCAGCTTGCAGTGAAATTCCTCGATGGTCACCGTTGAGTTCTGGGAAAAGAAATTAAGATATGGAATGACAATTTGTTCTTATTTTTAGACACATGGGAAACGGCTCCAAATGAACAGAGCTGGAAGGGAGGCTGCATCTGCCACTACAAGACCGACAATGTTTGCATCAGATCCTGCCTAATGCAGCCAAAAAGACTCAGGCCAACGGAGTAGAAACCCTGCATTAGGTGAAGGCTGCACACAGCTGGGTGCTGCCTGGCCCAGCATCCTCCCAGCTCTGGGGCTGGGAGGCAGCAACCAGCTCTGAAAAGGCAGCAGGACCCAGCTGGCATCTCCTGCACCCAGGCCAGGTGGCCCGAGGCAGGCTGTGGGGAGCCAGACAGTGATTCCAGCTGCTCAGAGCTGCATGCCATCCTCTCCTCCTCCTTCCCTTTCAGCTTGTCTCATCTAATCCATCCATGAAGTCACCACCAGCCCACTGCTCACTTGGGTTTCTCCCCTGGCTGACCTGCACTCCCAGTGGTAGTTTAGGCTGGGTGCTCCCTCAGACAAGGGGCATTTGATAACCTGCACATACAAAGTTCATCCCTGCAGCTGTCACTGCAATCAGTAGTGACAACAGCCAGAGGAACCTGGACAGCTCATCATCTCCTTTCCAAAGGGCAAGCTAAGGTACTACCCCACACCCATGGACACAGATACACCTTCAGCAGCATTTTGCATCCAGTGTAAGAGACCCCGAGGCCATGGACAGACCCACATTTGCTCTGCCCACCCCAACCTTGGAAGCAGAAATACACCAGGCTGCCTTTGCTGCACATTGAGCCTCAAAAACCTGCCCCAAAGCAGAGATCAGCTTGGGAGCATTGGTGGGTGCTGCTCCAGACCACGGCCAGGCCCGTGGCACAGCGCTCTGTTCTGGGGTCTTCGGCCAGAACTGGGCATTGGCCCATACCAGTCATTTTGTATGCTTACACTAGGAATTAGCCACAACTCCTCAGCAAGATCTGCTCACTTGTTTTTTGAAAGGTTTTTTCAGCTGTCCAAAGCTGCAAAAGAGCTACACACACTGTTTATTCATGCACTGCCACCAACCCCAGCTCTCAAATCCAAGGGTGGGAGCACAGAAGGGGGGCAGAAAACGCATACAAGGTATTTTCCAAGCCTTTCCTGTAGCTGCACCTTCAGGCTGCCACAACCAGAGATTGATGCCTTTGGTGACACGGGCAAATACACAACCAGCAAAACAACAGCACGCCAGAAACCCAGACCTCCACTTCTGCAACAGCAGCCTCTGCAGACCTTGGCAACACTCAACCATGCTGTGCTAACAGGCTGGTTTATAACATGCAGGAACAACCCATAAAGAGGAAAAAAAACTCATTAAATACATCACTGCATATCATAAATGAAATCTCTGACGTGTCATATTTGCTGCGTGCTCAAGACCAGAGAAGCACCACCAGCTTTCTAGAGCAAATCCCTGCTAGCAGCAGGCAGCAGCTGCTGACCAGCACCCCTGCCCTCCCAGCACACCCAGCTGCCTGCCAAGCAATGCAGCCTGAGTTTGGGCAGACCCAGATCAGGGCAGCACTGGCGAGGGGGTGGCTGGAACCAGCATTTCTTTTGATGGAACCTAACCAGAGGTAAACTGATGTGCAGTCAGGGTCAGACAATCATAGATCTGCCCAAGCAAGAAAACGTTCCCTAGTACAAAACTACAAGGTCCTCTGAATTATGTGAAAAGTTTCATTTATGAGAGGAAACAGAGAAGCCCAGCACAGCCCATGGTTTCCAGCAAACCCACAGCACCAGACCCCTGGCCTTTAGAGAAAGCTTTGTCCAAACCCTTCCAGGTTTCCTTAAGTTTACCTGCACACAACCTCATCTCAAAGCCACTGGGCAAAGAGCTTTTCCAAACTCACCAAACAGAAGAAAAAAGAAGTCAGCAAGTTTAACAGAAAGCACAAAAATTGACAGTGTCTTCCTCAGCCAACAGCTCTGCTCGTAAAGACCCAAACAGATAATGCTGTGTAAGGTGGGCACTGGCAGGCTGCCAGGTGGCCTGGCAGAAGGAAGGTGGCCCAGGGCTGCTGTGTGGGGCTTACCACGAGCGCCAGGACGAGGGTCCGGACCTTCTCCCCGATCTCTGGGGAGATGTCGTTGCCGAACTGCTGCAGGGTGGTGAGGAAACGCTTCAGCTTGCTGAGCTGCCGGGCACCACACGTGGCTGGGAGCTGCTGGTTCGTCAGCGAGGAGGAGGAGGAGGAGGAAGGGCCGTTGCTAAACCTCTGGGGTGGGGATGGTGCTCCATTCAGCGTTGGGGGCGAATGGTTTATTCCGTTGGGCACTGCAAAGGGGAGATAGAACCGACACTGAGCATCAGCTGGGCATGGCCCTGCAGTCCAGAGCCTACAAGGGCCTGTCTGCCACCCCAGAGCCTGCTGCTGATGGTTAACTGCTGCCAGCAAGCAGGTCAAGACCCAGAAAAGGGGCCGTGGCCAGAGCAGAGGCCGCATGCTGTGCTGGACAGCACTAAGCAATGGAGCTGGTCAGCAGCAACGTGTGTGCCCTCTCCCCAACCTTCTCCCGAGGTCATGGGGATGCTCTGCAGCCCCCTGCACACAAGAACCACGCGCTCAGCTAAGGCATCCACAGGGGTTTTCCTTACAGGATTGTTCAGGTGTGATTTACACCACAGCTAGTGACTTCTCTAGCAGTTGTCTCCTCCACTCAGCAAGCTTCATACCCAGCGCCACCGAACAGAAAGAGAATTAGTGCTCAGCAGAGCAGGCACACCTCCATCCACATCTGAGGTGGCCTGGGGAGACGTGGGGTCAGGCTGCACAAAGCCACCACCACAGTGGCAGACCAAGTCGTGACGTCCACTTGGCCCGGGGAATTAAACGTGCCTTAGCTCAAAGTTTACAGCCCTTGGCAGGAATTACCCATCAGCACTTTCTGATGTGCACCAGGCAGAAAATGACACCAGACAACCCAAGGATCCTTCCCAGCCCCATCATTTACAGTAAGTCACCTGTGTCCATTACTGGCAAAGTCTCACCAGCAGGTACCCCAGCTCAGGGACCTCCACTTTGCACCAAGGATGGCTGGGAGCATCCTGCCTGATGCTCCACCCTGGGGATTTACAGGGAGTTTCACAAACACAATTGTTTATTCCAACCTGGGCCCATCTGCAGCTTCACCTCCTGTGAGCAGCAAGCATGTCAAAACAGACTGGAGGCTGGAAGTTTGGGAACTCAGTAAAGGAACAGAATAAATCGTTGACATCCCCGTGCCTTTGTCATACAATCTAGAGCCCTGTCTGAAGAGCAGCTGTGTGCCTGGGGCCCCAACTCAGTATTAACCCAGAATTTTAGAGCTGAAAAGTACATCATTGTAAACATAGTTTTATCTGATCCACTGGGTTATCCTTAAAAGCCCAGCCCTGAATCCCTTATGGATGCAAGCACTGAGGAGGCTGCCACAAGCTATCAAAACCATTTCAAATGTTGGCGTTCAGAGCAGAAGCACTGAAGCCACTTGGCAGAGCTGCCCCTTGCACGCAGGGCAGGGGAAGGTGCCTGCTGTGATGGACTAGCAGCTTGCAGAAAAAAAGATGTCCAAATTTCTGCTGCAGCTTCCTGAGGATCACACGAAATCCACATGACCCTACTGAGGGTTTTTCAGAGAAACCTTGAACCGTTAAACCTCTCTGGAGCACGGGGGGTCAGGGGCTGGAAAGGCTCCACACACCTGGACCGGCTGTGGTGAGCACAGGAGGGAAAAGGGAACTCGAGAAGACGAACTGGTGTCAGTTAAGATGCAAGGGAAAGATAAGGCCAAAGAGACCATCAAAGGTGGTTGCTTCTTCTGGGGCCTAACAGAGACATGGCCCTTCATAGACAGAGAGACGATGAAACAAAGGCCAAGGGCAGGATTGAGAAGATGGAGGTGCAAAGGCAAAGCGAGCTCATGCCTTTTGTCGTGGAGCAATGAAGCCTGAAGAACTCCTGCCTGTACTGGCTTCTCCAAGGCAGCAAAGGACCAGAGATGTGCTGCAGAGACAGCACATCCTTGCAGGGTTAGTTGCTGTGGAGCAGCAGCAAACACAGAGCTATGTGAGCTATGTGAAAGGCAAGGCTTCTGGCCATTACTCACAAGGAATATTTACTTCATGGTAAAAGTGTTAGAAGCAGTGGGGAAAGCTGCCCAGAGGAGCTCCTCTCAGAGGGCTGCGCAGCTCCGCGCTCTGGGGCAGCCACGACCGAGGTGCCTCCCCCTCCTCTATTTCACTTCCTCTTACTCTTTCCAATCAGAGACCAGGGAGAGCAACGAGCTCCACTTATATTTTGGGAGCAGCAGAGGCCAGCAGGCTGCGGGGGACCCTCGGGTGACGCCAAGCTCTGGGGTGCGCTGGGGTG